TCTAGAGCAAATGTTAAATTTCTTTAATATAAATAATTTACTTCATAAAAATCAATTTGGTTTCACAAGGGGTTGCTCGACAACTGACGCCGGTGTTTAGCTGGTTAAATATATCTTTAATGCATGGGAAAATTTACAGGATGCTTTGGGTATATTCTGTGACCTATCTAAGGCCTTCGATTGTGTTCACCATGAAACCTTAATCAGGAAACTTCGACACTACGGTGTAAGAAGTGATGCTGTCAAATTAATTATTTCATATTTAAGTAACAGAACGCAAAAAGTTGTCATTTACAGTATGAGCTCATCTTGGTCAATGGTACAAATGGGTGTGCCTCAAGACTCAATTCTCAGCCCCTTTCTGTTTCTTGTATACATTAATGACTTACCTTGCATAGTAGGGGATAACCATGATATAGTATTATTAGCTGATTACACTTCTTTAATTTTCAAATGAAGGCTACAATTACTAAAATATGACGAAGTAAATAATGCTATATCTAAATTAGTAAACTGGTTCAATGTTAAAAATTTATTTTAGTTAGAGTTCAATGAAACACTGAACTCATTTGGGTTGAGAGCTAGCTTGATACAGGCATTAAGGTCTCTTTATAGGGACTCTCGTGCTTGTGTCAGAATCAACGGGGTCTACTCGGACTGGTTTGGCATCCATAAAGGCCATAAAGGCCATCAGACAGGGATGTGTGGCTTCCCCGTGGCTGTTTAACCTATTTATGGACAGTTTTTTACAAACTTTGAAAGTTGAAGAATGTAAGTTGAGAATGGGTGAGTTAACCATCAAATGCCTTTTGTACGCCGATGATCAAGTCATATTTGCATCGTCGGCGGCCGAGTTGCAAATGATGGTTACTTTAATGAACTGGTCATTGAAAGAAAGGGGTAAGAAAGTGAACGCAAGTAAGACGAAAATGATGGTTTTTGAAAGAGAAGAAAGTAAAACGTTATGTGAAATAAGAATAGAAGGGGAGTTGATTGAGCAAGTGGATGAGTTTGTATATTTGGGATGTTTTTTTAGCCGAGATGGTAGATATGATAAGGATATAGAACGACGAGCACGAACGATACGCTATTATGAGGAGTTAGAATGTGTCAAATAAGGTACCCTGTGTCCCTACTTTAATGTATGGTAGTGAAATTTGGGTCTGGCAGAAGAGGCATGAGAATAGAATAAATGCTGTAGAAATGCGGTCCTTAAGGAGTATGCTAGGGCTGAATTTGAATGACAGGGTGAGAAATAGTGCGATAAGAGAAAAGTGTGGTTTGCAAGATGACGTTGTGACAAGGATTAAGAAAGGAATGCTTCGGTGGTTTGGTCATGTAGAAAGAATGAACGAGGAAAGAGTGACAAAGCAAATTTATGTTGCAAAAGTGAACGGCAGGGTCGGGAAGGGACGCCCTAGACGAAGGTTTATCGACCAAATCTGCGATACATTAAAAATGGGCCAGATTAGGAGTACCCTTAACCGACGAGCGTGTATGCGTAGATATATGGGTGTAAAGGAGGCGAGAGAGGTGTGTCAGGATCGCGCCAAATGGAAGTCCGTAGTCTCTGCCTACCCCTCTGGGTGACAGGCGTGAGTGTTTGTGTGTTGTTAATAATTTGTAATTAAATGGCACTAAAACTAAATGATAACAATTACAAATATTCATGTGTTATAATTTTTCAGTGACCCGATTTTAAAGATATACATTAAGTTTATAAGATGTAAGGCATTCCATCTTCGTCTTCGCAGTCTTAGTTTGAAGTTGGTTGCAGGTTTCCATAAGCAGCAATAGTCACGTACCATGTGAATTTTGTAACTTCAATGTTTAAAAAATATATAAATTGAAATAGTACTATGTCGTACTACTTACACTAAACTTGCATTATAAAAAAAACTTACTTACTTATTTATCTTCACGCACAATCCCTGACGGGGTAGCCAGAGAGAACAGATCGCCAAGCGTCACGATCCTTACAAACCTTTTTCGCTTCTTTCAGATTAATTATCTTCTTCATGCATGCACGTCTAGGTATCCGAGTACTCTTGACCCTACCCTCTTCGAGCAATTTGCTCACATGGTCTTCCAAAGTTAGTCTCGGTCTATCTCGACACCTTTTATTATTAACTTTCGCGCTATATATTTTCTTCACCATTCGGTCTTCACTCATTCGCTCAACGTGCCCAAACCACCGAAGCACGCCCTTATCAATTTTTGTGATAAGGTTATCTTTCAAACCTGCCATATTGCGAATCTCTTCGTTTCGCTTTCGGCCGGCCATGGTAACGCCGCACATTTTACGAAGAAATCGCATCTCCACTGCATTCAACTTACTTTTATGCTTCTTCTGGCATACCCAGGTTTCGCTGCCATATAACAAAGTCGGTACCAACACTGCGTTATGTATTGCAAGGCGTACACTCTTCGCTACGCCTTGCCTTTTGACTAACGCAGTCAGGGCACCATTTCACCACACCACAGACTTTGTTCCCGGCAGCGACACGCCTGTCCACATCTAAATCACATCTTCCATCCCGGCTAAAAGCACTCCCCAAGTATACAATTTCATTTACCTGTTCTAGACATTCCTGATTTACCCATATTTCACACTTCGTTCTCTCTTCGTCCCTTTCAAATACCAGAACCTTAGTTTTATTAGCATTCAAACGGAGACCTTTAATTTCACATTCCTCTTTCATACACGTGACTAATGCCTGCAGTTCTGCCTCTGATGGTGCAATAAGCACTGCATCATCAGCATACAGCAGACAATTTACTTTAATGTCACCCAATTTCACACCCAAACAACTATCTTTCAGCTTCTGTAAACAGCTGTCGAGATACAGTATGAACAGCCAGGAAGACATGACACAACCCTGCTTTACGCCCGTTTGGACGTTAAACATGTGTGACAGGTCATGCCATACCCGCACACAGGCTTTACAGTCACAGTAAAGAGACTGCACAGCCCTTAGCAATCGACCATTCACACCATACCCCGGCAACAGTTCCGACATTTTCTTCCTTACAACCTTATCAAATGCTTTCTCAAGATCCACAAAAGCACAGAAAATCTTCTGGTTAGCAGCCAGAAGCTTTTCCGTGATCATGCGGAGAGAAAACATTTGATCTGTGCATCCTCTTCCAGGTCTAAATCCGCATTGTGCCTCCCATAGAAATCTTTCCGATTTCTCTTGCATCCTACGTGTCAAAACCTTCGAGTAAACTTTACTTGCTAAATTGGTCAAGCTGATCGCCCGATAGCACCCGCAGTCAAAATGTGAACCTTTACCTTTATGTAAAGGCACAATGACTGCGGATCGCCAATCATCCGGGACATCCCCCGTCCGCCAGCACAAATTGCACAACAGATGAAAGCTGTCCCAGACGCGAGGCCCACCATACTTGACCATTTCAGCAGTAACTCTGTCTAGTCCCGCAGCCTTACCACATTTCAAACTTCGAATCGCACGTTCAATCTCGTTCATACTGATGACCTCAGTGTCATCGAGGTCCGGGTCTGGCGTACCAGTCACGGCGTCATCCCCGGATCCCTCACTAAGATCATCACACGCATACATTTCTCTATAAAATTCGCTCCATCGCTGCATGACGTCAGATTTTTCTGAGAGGACGTCATTAGTTCTCGAAAGCACTTTGTTCATTCTTATGGCCGTCGCACCACTTCGGGTCCTTCCAACCTCTTTCCAGATGAGTTTGGAGTTCTCCTTAAAGTTGTGCGACAACCTTTCGTCCGCTTCCATTCTACACCTTTCACGCACTTCCTCAATCAATGCTTTCGTGTAAACTTTCTGCAGTTTATATCTTTCTTTCATCTTCTCTCTCATATCCTTATCATTACTAGAGGCCAAGTAGTCTAACCATGCTTTCTTCTTCTTTTTTACAGCTTCTTTCACTTCATCATTCCACCATGCATCTCTTCTTTTACTACTGCCTCTTTTTATTGTTCCACACACTTCTTCCGCTGCACTTACCATTCCATCCCTAAGGTTCTGCCATGTTCTTTCTACACATTCTTTTCTGCCATCGATGGTGTCAAGCTTTTCGGCTACCCTCGCATGATATTTGTCCATAGTATCCGCCTCCTGAAGCTTCCAGCTTCGGATACGACAGACCGACTGTGGTTCTGTTACTGCCGTCCGGTAGCGCCAACCCGCGAACAGACCCCTAAATCTAGTAATCACTAGATAGTGATCCGTTCCCAGGTCAGCACCCCTGAACACTCGCGTATCCATCACCTGTTTTCGCAGTCGGTCATCCACCAGGAACAAATCGATCATACTTCTCTCATTCTTTCGTTCTCTAGTATACATATGGATTTTCTTGTGATTAAACATAGTGTTTGTCACAAGAAGACCCTTTTCCTTGCACACCGCCAGTATAAGCTTGCCAGCATCATTAACCCTTTTATCGCCAAACTTTCCAAGTACCGACTCGTACTCTGGTCGAGCGGTACCAACCCATCCATTCAAATCACCACATACAACAATTCTTTCGTTTCCCCTAGCCAAATCTAGAACTTCTCTTACATTCTCCCAAAACTCCTCCAGCTCAGCCCTGGACGACGAAGCTACCGGCGCATAAACAGCCAAAAGGAATAACTTCGTCAGTCCCAATTTAAAGCGAACCCAGAGAAGTCTTGAGTTCACAACCTTATATTCAGTCATAACATCGACCAACCGAGAAGACAGCAGCACCCCCACTACCTGGCAGGCGCTCTCGCTCTCCGGGACTCCGGACCATAGAGCTAACGCCCCGCCAGGGAGCTCTTCAGTACCACTGCCCTTCCGTTTGGTCTCCGACATACACACGACATCTAATTCTCTTTCTTTCATTATTTCAATCAACTCATTCATCTTATCTCTCATGCCTCCTCTAACATTCCACGTGCCAACTCTGCACTCTGTCCTCCAGGATACTTTTTTAAATTTTTATTCTCAATTGACCCCATGTGAAATAAGTAATTTTGTTTCCAGGAAAATCTACAAGCGGAATAAACGAAGAAATAATTTGGATCAGCATTAGCATGGCGATCGCTATAGCAGTTTTGATAGCAATAGCTCTATGTTATATCTTGAAGGAAAAATGCTCGAAACGTCAGGCGTACAGAGAACAGTCATGACGATATAAGGAAGAGTTTGCTCGGCACGCCCTCGCGGACTCTCTTTCCGAGTTTGAATTTCCAGCTTATACTTTATATCCACAATATTCCCCAGATGGAACAGAATACTATTATAACTTTCATCGTTTTTCGTACCTTAGAGACGGTTTTAAATTACCCCCAAAGGACTATCCTATAAATTCTAAACATGCGAGTGATGAAATTTATATTAATGCGTGATAAGGGTCAGATGTTTGACGTCTCGCGTGGGTGAAAGCTGTTCATTGAAACGAATTTACACGACGTGTGGTGTCGTACCGTACCAATACTAATGAATTATGATGTTTATATTGTAATATACATGAGTAACTATAATTATGGAAAATGTATATAATATAAATAAAGACAGTACCTAATGTGATATAGCTTGATTGAAGCCATTTATCGTGAGATGGCGGCTTAATGGAATTCATCACCCAATTTCGTCCCTTTGTTTTTCTTTAGCGGAGACAATTGAATATTCCAAAAACATCTTATGTGTTTTGATAGATCGCGAAATAATCACCTCGTTTCCGCCAAATATCCAGACCGGTGATGGAAAGTAAGGTCAAAGATAACACGTGATTTTTTTTTAATTTAAAAAAAATCACCACATTTTCTAATCATATTAGTGCATTGTCATCCAAATTTAAGCTATATTCAAAATTTCAAGTTCCCAGCTCATCAGGAAGTTAGTTTAAAACCAATATATATATATATATATATATACTGCGATGGTCAATTCACCTGCCAAGCGTAAAGATGAAAGCAAAATGGGAGAGGCTCATTTTCAGCTGTGGATTTTTACGGGCGACATTTACTTCTGACTGTGAAGAAGGAAAGGAAGAAATTATAAGAGGAACTAATTGTTAAAAAATATGTTTCTATAAAAATTACTTACGAAATAGGAGACCGCGGAATAGGGTGATGATTTCTTAATTATAATTGTAAAATATTGTCATACTAAAGTAAAACTCCGGCTACATGCAACGACTTGCATGCGCAAACAATTTGTGCAAAAAAATTGCACTAACAAAATGGTGCACTACACAACGTCCACACGATAGCGTTTTTCATGCGCAATCAGTATGTAAAAAGCTTTCGCTAAGAACATGTTGTGTGGCGTCCACACGCCGCGCCGACTTAACATATATGCTTGCTTGTGCAACTAAGTTTGAGAAAATTAAGCGTTTGTGCAAGTCATTTGCACGGTATACCGTTTTGCCGGCTTTACGTACATGCTTGCTTGCGTAAATTAGATTTTGTGCAAGTAAGATTGAGCGTGTAGCCGGTACGTAATGGAATGAAGTCCCAGTTGAAATGTGGAACTGTGATAGTTATATATGTAACACATATGACAAGTAACGCTTGTAACGCATTATAAACATATTAATTTTCTTCTTTAGTAGACCAATGTATTACTTTTATCGTTCAATAAACGAAAAAAAATTGTAATAATTTATATTTATTAAACATACATTATCATCATCAAATCGGATGATTTCAATTTTCATTTATCATTACCGTAGATGGTATGATAAAATAATATAATAAGTGTTTTCTGCATATCTAAAGCAATTTTAAGATGTTTTTAAAATTAGAATCCTCAAAGTAACATCTGATTCAAAATTATCAGTTTATCATTAGTAAATGTTGATTACATTTTATACTATGCCAGCTATGCTATAGCTATACAGGGTGTTTTTGGAACGCTCCCGAAAACTAAGACAGGCGACAACACCAAGTATACCTTTGATCATGGGTCACAAATAAATTCGATCCTGATGAAAAAAAAATCATCTTTTTACAAGGTTTTATTAGCCTTATTCACGCGCCATTATGTTAGTACAGCTAAATGAAACGATAATTTCATAAAAAATATCATGAAAATACTGAAACATAAAACCAGCAGTGGAATGACTGAATTGATATCACCTGACCTGAGCTAGATAAAGGTCAATGTACGCGCGAACACAAATTCGCGCGGCCCGCAACTAGCGGGCCATCCCACAATATAATAATTTACAACACGTGTCTAAATACCTAACTTATCTACTTAACCTACTATTTTGCCACTGTGCTTATCTCCACGTAGCCACTTTAATCCGAATTTACAGGTTAAATAACCCAAATAACTGGTTCGATTCCCCGCTAATGAAGAAATACTTAAATGAAATGTAACCAAGGTTGGAGTCATGCGTTTTTATTCATCGTGTAGGTATGTTTATTATTCTCATGTATTCAGTTATGTACCTATTCAGATTAGTCTAGTACTAAGTTATTTAAAAAAAATAGTTATGAAACAGCTTACTGCTCTAAATCCTCCGTGGTCTTATGAGATGCGGCTCAAATTGTGCTCCATTCATTTCAAGGCAGATTTGGGTGCAGGCGGGGCATCATCGTGTGGTCTTCGACACAGTCCGTACGTAGTTTCTCGAAAGCATCCACGATCCTTTGGCGCATTTCTTCAGCACTATCACATTCACGATTAAAAACCCTTTCTTTCACATACCCCACAAAAAGAAGTCTAACGGAGTCAGATCTGGTGAGCGAGGTGGGCAAGCGTGTGGTCCTAGTCTGCCGATCCAGCGATCATCAAATAGCTCATTGAGTCGCTCACGGACGAACCTCACGAAATGTGGAGGGGCACCATCATGTTGGAACTATGTGCGGCGATATTCAGCCAACGATAGGTCGTTTAAAATGTCAACCAACTGTTCATTTATAAAGTTTAGGTATTGCTGTCCGTTCAGTCGCTCTGGCAGAAACACTGGTCCCAGTATGCGATCCTTAAATAAACCTGCCCATACGTTAACCGACCATCGGGTTTGGTGCCCGGTTTGTCGAACAGCGTGCGGGTTAACCTCTGAATACACGTGTGTATTTCTTCGGTTCCACAGGCCGTTTCTGGTAAATGTCGACTCATCCGTCCAGATAATGTGCTCAATGGAACCAGGCACACGTTGTTGCTGGTATAATAACCAACGGCAGAAAACTCTTGTGCAATTTGTATGGGCGCATTGGTTACGCTTCAACACTTTGTGCACTGCACAGTATGTTTACACACTTGTTCCATCTCGACGTCTTAACAATTTATTTAGCGATACTTCGTGTACCTAGGTTCGGATACCTAACATGTTGACCACTATAAACGTACGCGTTAGGCATTATTTAAACAAAAAAGAATCCAAAAACGTAACAAAAACTTTAATATCAACACGTAATCACAAGTAAATTTATTAAACAAAACGATTGAACTGTCGCTCGCGCACGCGTGTACAAAATCAACACGGAACTGTCTGAAAAACACAACTGCGTCACAAGCGTGAGGCGACAGGGAATAGGTCGACAGCGGAGTGAGTGTGGGTACAGTCGCGTTCTAAAGTACTACATGGTATTGGGCTATTGTTTTATAATATTATAGTAATTAATTGTTTTATTGTAGAATCATAATAGGTGTTTTACTAGCTACTTAGAACTTTGGAAGAGGTGGGAATTAAAAATAGATAATGTTTACTTGAGCATTGTTTGTTATTTCTATCGTAAAATATAAAGTAGTTTGTAACAAAAAAACTTAAGCTAAGGGTGACACGCCGTCCATTATGACGTCTTGGGTCACATGGAAGCCAGATGTTGATGGTGTGTTGGTGTTACTGGATGCTACTTCATCATCACTTTCATCTTCGCTTGAGCTTCCGTCATCAGGTCGACAACATGGTAATTTTTTCGGTATTCTTCCTCAACAATTTTAACTTTACTGCACAATTTTCCCCATTCACCTTCTATCATATTTACCTTTTCGTTCACTAGTTTAGTCATAAAACAATAGATATAAATAATTTTTTTCCTTCCTTTTTAAAACATCGTCGCGAGTCGCAAAGTAAGCTGTGTATGCGACTGTATTTTTGGAGCGAACAAAGCGCGGGAACCAATAGCATGCAGGCACAGTAATACTGGCCAATATGTGATAAATCGCTCAGTGCCCAAGTTCAAGGCCAGCGTTCTTTTTTCACCGTTCGCGCGTACATTAACCTCCATTAGTCAGGTGATATCAATTCAGTTTCCACTGCTGGTTTTATGTTTCAGTATTTTCATGATTTTTTTTATGAAATTATCGTTTCATTTAGCTGTACTAACATGATGGCGCGTGAATAAAGCTAATAAAACGTTGTAAAAATATGTTTTTTTTTTTCATCAGGATCAAATTTATTTATGACCCATGATCAAAGGTATACTTGGTGCTGTCGCCTGTCTTAGTTTTCGGGAGCGTTCCAAAAATACCCTGTATATGTGAATCATGAATTATTTACACATTTTATCATTAATAATTTAGTTTAATTACTTACTTTAAGTACTATTAATTAATTTTTTTTTCATAGAATAGGTTGACATAGGAGCACATAGTCCACCTGATGGTAAGTGGTTGCTGTGGCCCATAGACATCTACATCTATCCTCGTTCGCGAATCAAAATGCAGATGCGTTGCCACCCGTGAGGACTAAGATGGAATGCCTCTTTTCCAGTAAAAAATGTCTCCGGTTCTCTACACTCACCATACGAAACACAGCAGTTTTGAGCTGCTATTTTAATAAGAGGTACCGGTAGAATTACAGCGCTGTGGGCGTGGCAACACTGCTTTTCATGCCGAGTTGGATGCCTTTTCATTGCTGCAGTTCAATGTATTTGTGTATATTGTCATTATTTTTTTGTTTGCTTTTTAGTTGTAATTTCTTTATATTATGCATTGTGTTGTGTGTGACGAATAAACCGTTCATTCAATCATTTAAATAGAGAACAGAAATTCTTAATAGATTTTTAGAAAAAAGAAAAAATAGAAAAAAGAAATTTCACTAAAATATTAATTTGGTTTTTGGATAGAATTTAGTTTACTTAGGGCTAATTTTTAATCATCAGATTAAAGGTATTCGTATAACAAAATACTACAGCGAATTAAGAATTACAGTTGTATGAATAAATAGTTC